CACGTAAGTCATTATTGACTTTTCATCTGGCTTTTCAACGTCCACGTCTGTGTGTCAAAAAAAGGTGGTCGATTAGATTTCACTTCAGAAAAATTAATGACTAAAATACCTTCACTAACCTTCGGGATCCAAAATCTTTGGAATGCCTAACTTCTCCTCGGCTACTGTGAACGCTCGGTGGAGGTTTTCTCGATTGCTTCCCTTCTCAACATCTCGCATATCCACTAGTTTGGGATCGATGCTGTGAACAATAGCATTGAACGCCACACCATCTCGCCAACTGGGTCCAAAATCTTTGATGTCGATGTTAAATTTCCTAAAGTAACGTAAAACGTCACATTTTAGTATCCTCTGTAAAATTGGCTTTAAGAAGTGGACGTGCAACAGTTGCTTGTAAATTGCAGTGTAGGAGCAAGGTGGGCACGACCTTTCCTTACCTGAATCGCTCAATGCGTCTATACAATTGAAAGACATTTTCATTTAGCCCTTGCGACCAAACAACTCTGCTAAAGGCCCACCTTGCTTTAACACAGGCCAATGCACTGAACTTACTCGCTAAAAGCATTCTGTACCCATGTTGTAAGAGCCTGCTTTGCCGTAACTTTGTTTCGATTCTCGGTCTTTGGAATGCCCAAAAGCTCCAACAACATCTCCTCCTGCTCTTCAATCTAAATGTCGGTAGACATGGAAATCAACAAGTTCTTTCATTACCTGGAAGTAGAGGATAATGACCCAAATCAAACCGAGGACAATTTTTGGACGTCCTTCCACAATATCCACAGGGTTGATATTTACAAGCTTAATCTTCAACGATGGTTATTAGATTGATTTGGGAGAAACCTACTTTTCTAGAGCCTAAGAAGTCAAGTGCGGTCTTCACGTTGCTTAAGCAGTGAGCCGGTTTCATGTCCGTCGTGATGTTGACTGGCTAAATGAGGCATGAGGGGGAGATCGAAGGCAATCTTACCAGAGCTTCCCGAGAGAGAACCTCCAACAATCGGATAAGCACTACACCATCTCGAATCTCCTCAAACAGATCTACCACTCTGATGGGTGGATGAGCCTAAAGCAGTATTTAACTTTTACATGGAAGTGTATTCTGCCTACCTTAATGAGATACGTATTCATCCAATTTGTAAATGTCTTCTTCTGTACATACTCTTGTTCGCCTGTCAAAGGAAGCAGAACGAGGGATAATGTGGTACCCCATGCTGCACAAAAGTCTTAAGTCTTGGCGGTTACAAATGAATTTAACTTTAATCTTACCCCTTTTAGTTGAGATTTTCTGTTCAGGGGTCATGTCTTCCATCGACTCAAGGGTGGTTTGACAGCGTTCCAGTCCGGATGGTCTGGGACCGGGATCAAGATGACTTCTGGTGGAGGAGGCTGAGGCGGAGGAAGAGAGGAGTTTCGATGGTGGACCGTGATGACGTGATTGCTGAGACCGGCTTCCTTGGCGGTCACTTTGTTGGGCGCTCAGTTGATCGATCACGTGGATATATCGCTCACAAGCAGAATCGCTTATTTGTTGTCGGGCGAAACGACGCGATTCCAGACTTGGTAAGGTTAGACGGTCCGTAAAGAAGTCTTATAAAGGAGAGAATGACTGAGTAAATGGCATGGGGTTGCGTGTCATGTCTTTATGGAGTCACAAAACTAAACAAAAAATTTTCAATCACGCAACCATCTATGCACTATAAGCAAACGTGTTGCATTATTTTGTGTGGATCTGCTTTGAGTGTTGTTAAGACCTCAGAATAATCTTCACGACTGTCTTCCTTCGTAGGCATCGAAAATGTCTCATTCTTCGCATTAAGTAGGCTTGTAAAAGAATTCTGGTTTTCAAATCATCGGTAAAAATTTTTGTTCACGGACTGCCTTACTCGCAGGACCTCGTGCCATTGGTTTGAGCAGGAAGATCGCCCCTTAGCTCATGCACCTATCGTGACAACATGCAGTGGAAGCCAACCAGAGTAAACAGCCAGAATTTGGCCCGAATGGTTTTCACAGTGGAGCATAAAGTCATAAATGAAACAGCTTATAGACTGACCAAGTGAGAAGAAGAAAATGATTTTGTTCCAGCATCACAGCCAAAGTGCGTTACTTTGAAGGCCAACGAAGAGAACAGCCACATAAGAGGCTGGAGGATTAGGATGGAAGCATTTACTACTGAGGCATAGAAAGGACTCATCTCATGTAGGCGCTGGTTATTCAACTGTCGTCTCCTCGACTGACGCA